TCGTTTGCTGACATGAGGTTATTCTACAAAGCAAGAATGCCCATACTATACAAACACCAAATGACCAGAGAAGCACAAACCTCAGGAATAAAGTTGAGCAGAAATGGATTTCCTCTCTTAGCAATCTTCATACTCTTAACGTCACAGAGAGGGGCCTAATTTACATAAGAATAGTCAATAACGGCAACATTTAACATCTGCACAGGACTCAGGTATTCAAGGGTCCTTCATTACAAGAATTGAACAATCACATGTTATGAGACTGAGGTTGAATGAAGCTAGTTGAATCAAAGCAAATACAAGGAATCAATCATTCCAGTCTCTCACCGTCATAATTACAGCATCAAATGATTCTTCTTCTGCTTGCCGCTTGTGTGGAGAGGCAGAAAAAATTGACCAGCTATCTATCGCAGAGTCCCCACTACAGCTACAAGATAATTCCAGAACTCTAGAGTTTAGCCTAAGTTCATCTTCTTTGAGATTTTTGCATATTGCGTCAGTAAGTGTCTGCAAAACATTTGGATGAGATAACACTAGGATGAAAGATAACTAACAGAAATCACAGGATTGAGTTTCTATAAGACATAAGTGATGCCAATAGTCCACTACGCATTTATCTATATAATCTATCATTAAGAATAATTTTTTTCATGAGAATAGATAAAGAGAATGAGTCGAAGTAGTCAAGTTTGGTATATCATCCCTTTACACCTACCTCCTATGTTAGAAACTTATAAGTAAGAAATCACCCAGACAGGGACAAGATTTACAAGTCAGATCTAGTGTGTGAAGTGCATGCTGAAATATTAGACAAGTCATCCGTGGAATCAGATAGATGGCTGACCCTGAAATGATACATGATGCATAAAAGATGTGGTTGTAAAAGTTTAAATTTTCTGCCCTTTACCTTCAATGCATGAAGAAAAAGAGAACAAAAGGATACTTACTTGCATTCCGCCCAAAAATGAAAAGGACCCCCGCTGGCGCTTCTTATTTATTGAAGTTCTGGGTGGCCCTTGTTTCTTTTCCTTTATAGGAGATAACTTAGATTGAATTGCCCCAACTATGACTGAACCAAACCTAGCAAGTTTTGACACCAAATCCCATAAAAGAACTATTTGGATGATTATTTATACTTTTGCAAAGGAGTTTGCTCAACAAATTGCATACTCTATCAACAAAAAGAGTTTTACAGTAGCACCTCTGAAACTGTGGGACAAGGAAGCAAGGAGAATGATTTCCAACCCATGTGATGGCAGAAATTTGGACGTACATACCTTTTCTCTAAATTCCACAAGTCTGGAAATGAAAGGTGCATCTGTGTCAGAAGGAAAGAAAACAATGAAATTGGAGTGATAACCAGAATGATGCCTAAGTATCATGACCTAAATCTATGGTTCACGAAATATACTAGCTACACACCAAGTTTACATTGCCCTCGCCCAGTTAACCATTTTTACTTAATTGTAGGAGAAATTGTGTAACTATACAATGGCATATTGACCCATTATCTTATCCTCTCTGAGGTTTGTGTTAGAAAAATATAGGACGGACAAACAAGCAATATAGACGAATACTCACTGAAAGCGAATCAGGATCACCACCACATGTTCCAGCAACAAAAGGGTCAATTAGATAGTCGACAACCTAGCAGGTAACAAGAAAACATATGGATATTAGGTATTTAATTAAAGTTATTATATACAGTGAGATTTTCTTTTGTAATGGAACATCAGAAGATTCGAGGAGCATAGAGGCAAAGTCAATCAAAGGTAAGCAAACCTCCTTTCCAAAATGACGCTGGAAGAATCCACTGACACTGCATATAATAGGATTGGTATGTCAATTAAACTTGCCCTTACGATTTATTTGGCAGTAGAAAGCCCGACTAGATTGACTAAGTGCAAAGCATGTGAATGTGATGCAGCTAGTAAATAAAATCACCATAAGAATATATGTAGATTATGGAACAGACATGTCCATGCAGACACTATAGTGGTAATTGCTGTTATAAACAACGGGAAGAGGCTAGATTTAAGGAGGGAATAAAGAAAGCACATGGAAAATAGTGGCTCGGGTATAATATCTTATACCTTTCGTGTTTGTCAGACACCTTTGTAAGCTTTTTATTCTTCCACAAAAGTGGCTCGAAAAGCATCTGAAGCTGCAGTTATTAAGCTATCTTATAAGAAAATATTCTTGAAAGTTAACCATCATTGCTCACAATAGGATAGAAATAAATGAGATATAAGATGAAAAGGGAATATATGAATATGATATATGTATTTTTATGAAGGTCTTCACTACACTATTCACTGTTAATAATCACTTCAAGTCTGATGTCATGATACACATAGAATTGTTTTGGCTTTTGATCTAAGTTCTGACGTTCCTTAACTCCAAAAGAACAATTTCCAATGTTGTCTCCAAAAACCTAACTTCAGAAACCAATACTTTCGGAATATGATCCAGAAGTACAATGTCTAAATCACTTAGACCAACTACATATTTTCACTGAAATTTGGGTCTTTAACCTGTCAAAAATTCACCTAATCGGTTAAACCATTTTTCGAGGTGAAATGTATTTCAAGATATCATTCTCAAAAAAAAATTAAAATAAAATTCATGATATTTCCAAAAATTAAAGCCCCAAGTGTATTTGCCTCAAGAAACTATTGATTGGTAGAAAAGATCACCAATATGTATATAGGCAAATTGTCAATTATAATTATTAAGCTTATGCAGGCAATTTACCATGTCTTTATCTCGAAATCACTATAAACACTCATTTTATTTAAACAGCAAGAAATTGCATTTTACAGACAGTTCTGAGGGGATCCGCAAAGAAGCTATATTGCTAAAAACGAGAAGTAATTTTTGGTACACAAATCTCGCTAAGCCATGGTAAACATAAACTCATCATTCAAACTTCAAACAGGTTAAAAACAAGACTTGAAGATAAGAAGATATAAGATTACAATCCTGTTTGAACATTGATGTTTCATTGATACTTCCCAAAGGAGCAAGTTGAAAGACTCAACATGAATTTATCAAAATCTATACCTAAATCAGGAAGGTAGGATGACCCACATACCTTTGATCCAGTGGAAAGAAAATTGCTTTTGAATAGGTCAAATGGATTTGAAGGTATCTGGAATTAAAAACCTAGCTTAGAACATGAGTAATCACAAAACACCAAAAGCACCATGTTGGGAGAATGCAAGTAAAGCTGAACAACTCAGAGAAACATGCAAGTTAATAAGCTTTCCATGGAAAAAACTAACCAGAGTAGGAGTACCATTTCTGGCAATGTAGCGCTTGTTCTGTGAAAGTGGCTGCAAAGTGAAAGCAGTTAGAATCTGAGCTTAAAGTCTAAAGTCATGGAAATTTTCAAGACTCTAAAGCATATCACATAGTTCAAAAATGAACCAAGGGCTTCTTTCAAAGGTTATAACACATAATTAAAGCAGTAACCCTTACGAATTGTTGTTTTTCTCGGAGTCCAAGCGAATCAAGCAAAAATGTGACATCACCTTCACTTTCAGTCTGCATAAGATCCAAAGATACTTGTTTACTAGTTTATCCAAATTGGAAACAATGCACACAATTCAAATGCAAATTAGGAATAAAAATACCATAGTATTTGCGCCTTCATCCCATATTAGGCCATCTTGACTCAGGCTTCGTAACTTCCCTCCAGCTCTCCCTTCTGCTTCAAATACTGTGACATTCAAGCCATGAACTTTCAACTTGTATGCTGCAGCAAGTCCACTTGAATATTAAATAAGTTAGTGGCATCAACTTAAAAAGTTGAATGAAAATTGAAGCTTTAAGAGTTTACATAGCAAAATACTATACGCAGAGAATTGGAAAATTAGGTAAAGTTAAACTGATATGATACAACAATTGCAGAAGCTAAAGAAACCTGACGCCAGCACCAATGACTGCAACTCTCTCTACAACAAAAATTGCGTCAATTTTGCTTGGGATATAATGGAATTGCAGAGAAATAAATGGGATAAAGAAGATTACTTTGTTTATCTTCTCCGGCAGATGGAGCCATCGGAACTCAAAAGTGCAAAATTTGGGGCAAACTCAAATATTTGCCTTATAAGACAATGTTCAAAAATGACATATTACTATAACAGAGAAAAAAAATCCAAATCATATCCTATCATGTATTATATAGTACTATTATTCTATAACATAAATTATTTTTGTAATCGGAAGTAAAGTCAAAAATTGTAACAAGACTTTCTCCTTTTAATTTTATTATTTATATATATAACTATGACATATTATAAATTTATAATTAATGTAAATATCTCTTAAAGTCATCCAATTAGTGGTACGTGTGTATTGATCAAAGCAGTTCATTTAACTTATTTGTTATCGGTATAAAAAGGAATCTAAATATCTCCTAAAGGTCATTCAAATAGGGGTTTGTATCGATCGGTTCAATTTAGTTTTGAAGTTTACCAACTAAGGCTATGAAAGAATTGGTTCGATTTAATTTTGTTTTAAAATTTATCGATTTGACTTATTATTTCTTGATTTATAGATATACTAAATCGTCATAGAACCATTATAATATTGGCTTATCAATTATTGACCGTCATCAATTCAATTATAGGTCATTAAGATTTGACAAAAAAAAATCAATTGAAAATGACTTAGACATACTAAACCGTTATAGAACCATAATAATATTGACTTATTGATTATTGATCGTTATTAGTTCAATTATAGGTTAACCGTTAAGATTTGATAAAACAAATCTGTCGAAGATGACAAACCAAATGAATCGTGCACATAAGTCCATTGCATCTTGCTCAAAAGCAAACACTTTTACATTGTAAAATAACTAAGAGTAGGAAACTAAACTCTAAGTCGAGGACTTTATATACAAAATTGTAGATATATTATTATTTATTTACTATCGAGTTATTGATTAATTCATTAAGAAGAAACCTCATACGGTTAAAGACTCAATAATCCAATAACAGAAAAACCAAAACCAGTAAATTAATAACTAAATAATCTGTGTGTCCTTAAATCATATGAACCAATTCTATCTTTGAATTGAAGAATCCAGCATTGAAATAATATACATGAAAGAACACTTGATTACAACTTCGATCCTGGTAAATGAATCCTTTTTAATTCTCTTCTCAATATCTTCCCTGATGGACTTTTTGGTATGGAGCTAACAAATGCCACCCGCCTTATCTTCTTATATGGAGCAACCTGCAACAAAATATATGGACGATTATGTCGTGGACAAGCACGCTAGTCGTTTCTTGTCTAGTTCAACTACAATGTGCCTTTATCCTCGATGCTTTTGACTTTCATAAATGAGATTTTTGAGCTAAAATGGTAGTCAGATTATTAGTCCCTTCGTTTCAATCTAAGTATCTTGTTTTTCTTTCTGCTTTTTGTGTCAAAAAGAATGTGTCCGCTAACTTCAAAAAAGTACTTGTGTCTCGTCAACTAAAACACTTGAATTATAACAGAGGGAGTAGATTTTTATGATGGAGCACGAGAAATAGCTCAGAGGAAGCACCTGTTTTGAAATAAAATCAATCACTTGTTCTTTGTCAAGAGTGCTTTGGGGACGTCTCACAACAAACGCCATGGGCAGTTGACCAGCTTCTTCATCAGGATATCTGTCACAATTTGTTCATAAAGATTCATTTCTTGCAGAGTACAAATGATATGTCTTAGCCTAGTTGTCTGAAAAAGGAAATGTAAAATCTTACGGTATGACAGCAGCATCTACTATTTCAGGGTGAGATTGAAGAAGTTGTTCTAGTTCAGCAGGAGCAACCTGAAAATCAAGAATAAATGATTTCCAACGTAAGGTGGCGTAGGAACTTAAAAGGTTACAAATGCAGGTAGCAATGGAACCTGGTATCCCTTATATTTGATCAGCTCCTTCAGCCTGTCTACGACAAAAAGGTATCCATGATGATCAATATAACAAAGATCACCAGTCCTCAACCACCCACATGGCATCAGAGTTTCAGAAGTGTTCTTCGGATCACCGATGTAACCTGAAAAAATTTACAGTGTTGTTGACAATGAACTATGTCTCAATTCCAAACAAATTGAAACCGAGCTTTCTGTTAAACATCATTCCGTTAAGTAATTGAAGTTACCTTGCATAATGATTGGACCTTTAATCCAGAGCTCTCCTTGCTCACCAGGACACAGAGCAATTCCAGTGTCCGGATCTACAATTTTTGCTTCGGAATTTGCCATTAACCTTCCTACAGAACCCTGATGAAGCATTTCTTCAGTTGTTGCAGACCGAAATGCTGCTCCGGTTGTTTCAGTTAGTCCATATCCCTCAAATTCAAGACTCAAGTTCAGTTCCAGGTTAGAAAAAAACAATTCCTCAGCTGAGCCAGAAACTGGTTTACATAAAGGATCAGTTACATATGAAGTAGTCCGTCCCTAGGACTTTGGTCTAGCTGTTAACCTCGCAGTTCATGATCTTAATATGGGGATTACAGACACACATCACGAGTCTGGACCCTGTTTGTTGCGGACCAAAATCTTGGGAATTTAATTGAAGAAGGGATTCATTAGTCATTGTTCCTGAACCGTGCAACACTGGCTCTCAAGTGTTTCTCGGATATTCCTTAGCTTAGCCAGAAACAGGTTTTGTATCGATCAGTTATAGAAATATCAACTAGTCTGACTCAAGGCTTCAGTCTACTGCTAATGACACAGCTCGTAATGTGTAGATTAGACCAATTTCATGAAATTCTAACCTCGCGGCTAATAAAAAAACTTGTATTTAAGCGGAGAAGAATAAAGAAACGAGTTCATTATCCACAAGTTTTGATCCGAGTGTCACTGGCTCTCAGATATTTCTCAACTAATAAAAAAGTTATCAACTTCCTCCTCAAGTGCTACAACCAGTTACCAGCACATATAAATCATCAGTGCTACACTATATGAATGCTCTGTGTCATTTATGCCTATACATTGTCATTTCAAGACTAAATAATTGTATACTTAATATATAAATATGTTATTTAACTTGGTTCATCTAATACCTATAGACACAAACGTCCTACTTGGTGTCATAAGTGATAATTCACATCCTGCGCGACATGTATCTTGCCACACGTAGGATATATATGTTTATTTATTCAATTTTATACAAATTTAAGTATATTATACATATATGGTGATATATACATAAGACGTTGAATCTCTTTAACTTGTTCGCGTTATTTACTTACTTGAAATAATATGATGTTTGGAAACTTGTGTGCAAATGCTTGCATAACATCTTTCCCAAGCGAAGCTCCGCCGCTGCCAACTGCTTCTAATGAACTCAATTCATAGCCATGAGTAACACTTCCTTTAGCCATCGCCACCACAACCGGCGGAGCCACCACTAATTGTGTCACCCTGAAATCCACTACCGTCTTCAACATTTTCTTCAAATCAAATCTCTCCATCACCACAACAGTATCAGTTATAGCTACCGATTTCAACATGTAATGAAAACCAAACACATGAAACAACGGCACCGTATACAACATCACCGCCGGCGAATCCCTCTCCGGTCTCTGAGCATGGTAATTCGCAATACTTGCTATAAAATTCCGATGAGTCAGCTTCACCCCCTTTACCTCCCCTGTAGTCCCCGACGAATACATAATCGCCGCTAAATCCGATTGATTCACTTCTACTGTTTTGAGCTTCAATCCAGTGTTCATCATCATCAATTCGAACTCCGGCGTATCGATAAGAACAGCTGGGTGTTTCAATTTCGGAAGCTTCTGGAAGTTTCTCGATGTAGCAAACGCGATTACAGGTTTCGTTAACTTAATCTGTCGCAAAAGCTCAGATTCTGTGCTGAGGGGATTAGCAGGAGAGATTACAACACCGAGGGAGAGAAGAGAAAAGTACAGAATCGGAATATGAGTTGAGTTTGGAGAAAGAACAAAAGCGACGTCGTTTTTGGAAAGACGAAGTGTATTCTGAATGGAAGAAGCTAATGAAACAACACGTTGCCGGAAATCGGAGAAGTAGATACGGCGACCGGTGGATGAGTCGATAAAGGCGGTGGCTTCAGTGTTGTGTTGGAAAGATAGTGCATAAGAAGCAGCGGAAACAGGAGAAGACATTGGAGGAAGTAGGAGTGGTGGTCGGATACTATGGAAAGTTTTGGTTTTTGAAGAGAATCCGCTATTTGGGTCGACGGAAGATGATGAACTTGCGTTGTCCATGGGAGGAAAGTAGTTGTATTGCGGCAGAGCTCCGGCGATTACACGGCGGAGACACCTTGTGTCGGAGTTGGAAGACAGAGATTCCAACTAAATTAGTGGTCGTTACAGACGTACAGTATTTAAATTTTTTTGTCTTTTTCTATATATGGGAAAAAGTAATTTTCAGTTTCAATTGAAACTCTATAAAAATGAGTTCCAATTTCAAACGAAAAAAAAGTCAAAAATATAACTAAGCTACTCAAAGTAGATTACCCTTCATTATATTTTAGGATCTAATATTATTACGAAATTAATAAGATTATTCAAAATTCTTTCTACATAATGTATCATTATACTTTGTACACATGAAACAAATAAAATATATAGTATCTTCAAGTTCCTTCTTATTCACAACAATGAAAAAAATAAACACAAGATCAAAATTTTAAGCTAAACATCAATTAAAACCTTAAATGACTGGCTTTTGTGGAGACTTTTCCAAAGGTCTACTTTTTTTTAACAGAATTTTAGTTAGCTAACATTTGAATGGAGGGATTAGTACCACACGTTACTAGAAATTTGGGATGTTAATTATTGAAGATATTTTTAATTTATTTAGATAATAACAAAATATTTTTTATCTCAAAATATAAATAATCTATTTTTCACTTAAAAGGAGAATTTTGAAACTTTTCCCAATTGTAAAGCATTTGACACTTGAGAAGTTGAAGAGACAAAGTGATAACGCATACCATCAAAGATAAGGTTATTTTAATGTTGATGTTTGACAGTTTGAGAATCAAGTGTTAAGTTGCTGTTAAGAAATATGAATATATTTTTTTATTGCTGAAAACGTGACTATCACTCATCATTAGTATATATATTTTTTTCTTTACTTCCAACCTCAATATTAGAATTTTTATAAACTTTTCATTATGTTTTAAATGTATTGGTTTTACTCGAATTGAAAAAATATTTTACTTGAGCTGAGGGTCTATCGAGTCATACACCTAATCAAAATGTTGTTGTTTACACATAGTAATTAGAGGTTAATTAGTCTCTGTTGTTTGACAAAATTAGTTATTTTTGTAACGGTAAAGATATGAATTGACAACTATTATTCGCATATTACAAGGGCAAATATGGACCTTAAATTTGTTCAACCAGCTCAAGAGGAAGTTTCTTATTACATCCAACTACTCAAATGGCTAAGTCATTTAGTTACAGCTACAAACATATTTACATTTTCTTCTCCAATAAAAAGGACTAATTCAGAGAAATATTTCATATGTTAGTAGCTCATGCGGACACGTCGACTATGAAAATTCTCAGGAAAAGAGCTCACTCACCTGCAAACTGTTGAAGTCCATGCATATAGGTCATCACATGTACTTCTTTTCACCTTTTAGAACCGGCATTGTCAAGCTGCGGATAGGACAGACCGCTCGTAGATGTCATATGGCTGCATACCAGTTGAAGGAGCCTTGACAGGTCGTCCTGAAGCACCAAAACACAGATATTGGTTCACCAACCTTTTATGTCCTGCGTTTTGTTTGTGTATCGAGTCTGATGGTGTACCCTCTGACGGATGAGAACAAGAAGGTCCAGCAAGCTCAGTGTCAATTACAATTGCTTTTTGTTTGTCCATAGAACTGCGTGAAGACAGTGATGAAATCGAGAATGAACTTGCACGAGATGATCTACGAGGGAGGCTAAGATGTGGTATGGCCTGCATGACACCGTTTACTAGTCCTGAAGCAAATTTCTTCTTTGCTGTTGGACTTGGAAGGTTACTACTAGCAGACAGAGTCCTTTTGTGATTCGGAAGTGATGAGGGCTTTGAGTACCTTTCTCGTAGAGGAACTAGTGCCACGGCTGAATTACTAGCAGAACTTTGATCCACCAATATCTTGAGTCTCTTACTATCTCTTTTCTTAATTTTTGGCCAATGGAAGAAGCGTTTCAGTTTTTGTGCTGCATCATTTGCGGAACCAGGTTTCTTGCCATTTGTAGAACAAAAGGTATCAGGACTCGTGCAGGGATGACTCAGCTCAGCATTTCTACTGCCATCTGATGCATGTTCAATGCCCGTATATAAGAATATTTCAGTGTCTGAGATTCTAAAAGAAGTTCCAGGACTGCTATTTATATTTTGCATCTTTAAATGGGATGCAACAACTCTTCTTGCTGAATAATCGTGATGACTGAAAATCCCCCCTGCAGATATCAACTGCTTTGTAAGTAGCTCTGATGAAGCAGAACGTGGCCGTTGCTTCAGGATATCAAGTGGTGTCATTCCATCCTTATCACGAGTATTGACGTTAATATATCGGACAGTCATAAGTAACTCCACAAGTTCAGAATGAATATTTCCAATGACAGCCAAATGAAGAGCAGTTCTACCATCATTGTTTTCAGCATTAACAATCTCTTCAACGTTGGAAATTTTTCCACAAACTAATTGCTTCATGAGATCGATTTGATGGTCCAATCTGCGGAAATAAGGCGTTTGGAAACCACTAATGGCAACATGAAGAAATGTTTCTCCAGCATTGTTTTTTGAATAGATCAACAAAGGTGAAGCAACAATGAGAGCTTCAACAACAGCTAATTGGCCCCTACAAGCAGCCACATGTAGTGCAGTGTTGCCTTGGTTGTCTATGGAGTCGATAATATCCAAACTTTTTAAAAGATATTTAACAACCTGCAAAATTAACATTAGCATACTATAGATTTGCAGCCACATCTCTAACAATATCTAAAAGCTTGTTCTGTGCTGTCGTTCAAAGATAAAAAAACATACAAGAATAAGTATTACAGCAACAAAGATCAATCAATAACAGTATAAAAGTTCCTAAGAAATTATGCAAAGCAAGATCATCCTAATGTGAGTGCTTATGTCAAAACCTCGTGGTTGAAACTTTTGGAGACTAATAACTTTTCAGGTATAAAGTGACTGATTAAGATAGAAAAATTCTCTGAGTTGTTGCAATTAGACTACCAAATACTAATTTAGCAGTTGATCGTGCTATACAAGTAGTAAGCACATATAATATTTGGTAGTTCCAGCACCCCTGTACTCAGTGACAGAGACAGGAATACTTTACAAGGTGATTCACCTAGGGTCATCTCGTGCATCGTGGGGATTCAACAGATTATATAAAACCAAAAAAAAAAAACATTTTCCCTATTTACACAATTGAATCCCCTTGTTAACACATAGCTCTGCCACTACCTGTATGCTGTATTGATTTGTAAGAACCAAGAATCAAAAATATGCAAAAGCTTAAACTGGTAATTATCAAACAAATCCTACCTCGACCTGGCCTTTGCCAGCAGCCGTATGTAAGAGAGTTGCACCCTGAATGTCTCTGTAAGCCAATATATCATCAGAACAGTTAACAAGAAGCTCCTTTAGTACCATAAGATTGCCTCCTCTAGCAGCTGCATGAATACCTCTATTCATCATCTCCCATTTATAAGCAGATGGAATCTCCCCAATCTGTTCCTCTAAACCTCTGCCACCACGCGCTATAAACCTCGGAGACATAGCAAAATCAAACAAAACCTTAAACACCTCGCAGTTTTTACTCCTAGCAGCAGCATATAATATGTCAGTGACACCATACTCTCCTTCTCCAAAGACCAAGAGGGGATCTTTTTCGAGCAGTTCTCGAACAAAATCCAGGTCTCCAGCAGAAGCAGCAGTATATAATAGCCATCCACCGTAGCCAGCTGTAAGAAGGGAATTTTTCCCTTTCTTGGTCTCACATTCAAGGTGAAGTTCCCTTGCAACCTGTGACCGACATCTAGCAACATCATCAAATTGCTCTTCGTCATCCCAAACAGACTCGAGCCTTCTGATCCTACGTAGTGAAGTGAGCTTGATAAGGTGATTCCCATCTAAGCGAAGAAGCTCACGCACCAAATCATAGTGACCATTTGCAGCTGCCCAATCAATTGGTGAAGCATACCACCATTGATCTCCAGTACTCTCCCAACGAAGCGGTAAGTATGTAGGAGGCATTTTAACGAATCGTTACAAATGATTGTACAAGTTTGCGAAGAGTGCTTGACAAGTGAAATGAGGGAAACCAGCTCGTTCAACAAAAACAAAGAGTAGCCTACCTAGAACCTGAAAAAGTCACTGTCAACAAGTTTCTCAACCAACATATGCAATTTATTCCCATTAAGACTAAAAAACACAAGAAAGACTCTTTATCCTTACCTTAGGAGCGGGATGAGTCCTAAACCAGAAAAAGTTGACCAATAAAGAAGTGATTTTTATTAACCAAAACGATCCCAACTACTCATTCAGGGATTTAAAGAGCCAATCTTTTGCTCAGAATAGGTCATCAATGATTATGCAACAAGAAAATGCAACATTAAATTAATAGTTGAAGATAAGATATACCAAAAAGCACTTAACACCACAAACAAAATCCTCAAATATATAATTATGAGACAAGACCCTACAAGATTTCAAGCCAAGAAAAAAGTAAACACAGAGGAGAACAAAGAGAGTAAAGGTGAATATACCTCCAAACTTTAAAGCTTAGAGTACACACAATGAATAGAAATGAGAATACCAACTAGAAAGAAGCAATTTTTATGAATGAAAAAGTAGAAGCCAAAAAAAAAATAAAAAAAAAATGAGAACTTGAAATACTCACCTTACTACAAGATGGATCTGTGCTGTGCTTTACCACAAATAAAATGGGGGATAATACTTGCAACATAAGAATTGAAGAAAATGAGAAGAAGCATGGAGGTAGAAACAGAAAAAGAGGACAAAATCAGAGAAAAGATAAAAACTTTGGCAAGAAAGATTAAAGATTGATGAAAAAGGGAAAAGATTCTCATTGAAATATGAAAATTTATTGATTCATAGATAATTGGGAAAGGTGAAAGTGACTAATGGCTGAGGAAGAGGGCGCCAAAACTATAAACACCGCGGGACAATATTATAATGTTAATGTTTTCTTACAATTATTTCACCAGCCTAAGCGAAACTCAAAAATAACTCCTAATCGTTATAATTTTTTATCACAACTTCTAACTTTGTGATGCACACCAATAAATCTTTCATTGTGTAATAACATGTTGATCACACATTATAATCCTTGAATGGACAATAGACCAAAACAATGGAAGAAGCAAAAATGCATTTCGATTGGGCAAATGTTTGTGTTGACAATGGGAAAAAAAAAACCAAACAAATATATATAATGATACAAAAACACAAGTCATGACTAGTGCTTTCCATGTCATGGTTGGTTTGACAATAACTATTTCCTATTTATTTTTCTTTTTTCTTTAAGTAATTAATATCGAAGATAAAATTTTGTATAAAATATTAAAGTTTTATAGATTGTTGTTTTTTTTTAATGAAAATGATTATATACCTATCATCTCTATCTTTAGGAGGAAAGATAAGATATGTGTATCCTAATTTTGCTTTAAAACATGCTGTAATTGATAATTACATTATAAAATTACAATCGACCAAGGCATGGACCACAATTAAATATATCACACTCATTAGAGGATATGGCCATGTGAAAAAAACAGTTTAGATTTGACAAATATCCAAAAAATATAAGGCAAGAAGTAGAAATAAGTGTAGATAATTATAGTGATGAATTATGTGATACTCAAATTTAAATCATTACTTTGACATTGTTGATTCTTTCCACTTTGAACTAGTTATTAAAATTAAGTAGACTTAAGATTCATGATATTTAAGCAAAGTCGGGGTTCAAATCATAATTTGCTTGATCAAACGGATATTTTCTAGAAAGACATTTAACTTAAGTCATATATTTTCTGGATATCTTGATTAATTAACCTCATATCTATGATAGATACCAACAATCAAGGGTGTTCAATTACATTCTTTTTTTCAAAAAGTTATATTAATTCTTCTGATATTTATCACAATTAAAACTACTTACGTGAAAAAAGAGATTTTACCATTGAATTCCTTTCTAGAAAAGATGTCACTTTACATCCTTTATACATTTATAGAGCAAAAATGGCTTCAACAAAAGTAAAAATTGAGAGCTACTATTTTGGAGACATTTTGTTTATTATATACTTTATTATATTTAAAGGTAAAAATTAATAAGCACTTTAAAATATAATAAAGTTGAATACAAATCTATCGTATGATTAACACCAAAGTACGAATCCGTTGTGTCATGCGACTACATCCACCTCATAATTTGTTCAATTATTTAAATACAACTAGTTAATTTATTCGCGCTATATATAATCCTATTTATTTAGAGCTCTCCTATGCTATTTTACTTATTGATCTCATGCCAAAAAAAAAAAGAAAGAAATCATATAACAAAAAATAACAACAAAATAAAATTTCATCAAGAAATAAAAAGTAAGTCTCACTCATAAATTCACAATTTCACCAAAAGTGATAAGGAAAGGCTAAAGAAGATGGACAATTATACGAGGGCCCAGGGGAAAGTTATAGAAATAGTTAAGATCTTACTCTACAACTAAATATTTTTAGAATACATAACTAGCTAGATTAGAGCTCATTCGGATTGACTTAAAAGTCAATCAAACCTACTTTAAAGTCACTTTTTTATTTCTAAAAGTGTTTGACAAATATAAAAAATAACTTAAAATAAATTATGAAGTGTTTACCAAAGTAAAAAATAACTTAAAATAAATCTCTATCTATTTATTATTTTTCGATTTTTTTAATAAAAATCAATCCGAACGGGCTCTTTATCTTCTTAATCCCCTCAACTTGAAAGGCCAAAATTTAAATGTTCATTTTTTTTTTAAAAAAAAAACAGCTCAATGGACTATGATTGATTATCATTGGGGAAAAAGAAAAAGAATAACTTCAAAATTTAAATCTTCATTTTTTTTTTAAAAAAAAACAGCTCAATGGACTATGATTGATTATCATTGGGGGAAAAGAAAAAGAAAAACTTAGAACAGAAAAAGAAATTAAAAATTGGATCTTTTTCTCCAATTGAATCAAGAAATCTCTAATACCTTTCCCTTAATCACAATCCATCTTCTTAATCCTTAAACCCTAAACTATCTCTTCATTTCAATGTAATACAATGGTGTTTTCATCATTTTAGCTATACAAATTTGCTTCTTTCTTGATTTTTGGTGTGTTTTTGAAGGGAAATGCCAAGCGTGGCTGTGAAATTATACAGTGTTTTCTTCAAATTTATGTTAAAGCATCGGTTGCAGAACCGAATTCAAATCGATGACACCATAAATGGGTCACAGCATTTTGGTGTAACATCTCGACCCAATGAAGAATCCATTGCTGCTTCCAATCCTTTATTCACTGATGGTGTTGCAACCAAAGATTTACATATAGATCCAGGGACTTCTGTTTCTATTAGGATCTTTCTCCCTGAAACTTGTTTGGGTTCTCATGAATCTGATCTGAAATCGAAATCGAGGATTAGGGTGTCTGGATCTGACTCGAATCAGGGGCTTTTACGTCGAAATAGCTATGGGAATCAGACACATGTTCAGAAGAATGGGTTTAATCATAGGAGAAGTAGTCTTGGTTCTGTTGCTGATGAGCTTAGTTTGAAATCTGAAAATGGGGTTTATAGAGGGTATTCTCCTGTTACTGGAAAAAAATGTAGGAAGTTGCCGGTAATGTTGCAATTTCATGGTGGGGGGTTTGTGAGTGGAAGTAATGATTCAACTGCGAATGATTTGTTTTGTAGAAGGATAGCTAAGCTCTGTGATGTTATTGTTTTAGCTGTTGGATACAGGTTAGCACCTGAGGATCGGTATCCAGCTGCATTTGAGGATGGATTGAAGGTGCTGCATTGGCTGGCGAAACAGGTTAATTTAGCTGAATGTAGTAAGTCGGTTGGGAGCAGACGTGGTGGAGGGACGGATTTGAAGAAATCTGATACGTATGGGCATATAGCTGATGCGTTTGGAGCATCGTTGGTGGAGCCTTGGTTGGCTGCTCATGGGGATCCATCAAGGTTAGATTTTGTTTACTTATCTCATTCATTTTATAGCCTTATATATGCGTTTCAGTGAGAAGTTTAGATCACGGATTATTATATGTTACGATAATTGGTTGAATGTCCATTTCTCAAAACAAAAACTAAAAAAAAAGTATATGTTTGATGATTGGTTTAATTTAATGGAATGAAGCATTAAGCTGAAATGGAGCCAGCTAGTCACTAATGTTGCTTATGAAGTATGCAGTATTGCCGTGGAATGGTAATTTTTAGGTTGAGTGTAACCGCAGTAACACTTTATACTGAAAGTTGAAGCTGCTGCTAGAATGGTTCAAAGAACACATTTTTTACAAATGCCTAGTTTTGGTTCTTGCTATCAAACAATACTTTTATGTGGCTGCCCTTCTTCGCAACTGTGTTTGTGACCAAGCTATGCGTCTATTCAAAGGGGAAGGAAAATGCATTATATATGTCTTTCAGTTTTCACCTTCTGTTCTGCATTTCTCTTACTCTTTCTTGCTATCAAGTATCAACAAAACATTTCTTTGGTTTTTTCTGGTTTTTATTTCATTTTATTCTCCAAATTTACAGAGGCTTATTGTTCAAAAATAATAATGAGCACAACTGATAAGGTGTTAGATATCCTTGATGAATTGTTTCCTTAGTAGCTTGCCAACTCATATTATGTCCATTTCTCATTCCAGTTTTGGCGGAGAGATGACATGATAAAATAAAGAGTCTTTCAGGAAAATGTAGATGATAAACCTTATTATTACTTAATTAAAATGGAACAAGTATATAAAAGGAAGGGGTGAAAACTTGCCCCAACTTGATGAATGAATCATATTTCTGCACAATTACTTGCATTACTATAGTTTTGATTCTCTTTTTTGTCATCTCCAGTCACATTTAGGTATAGTTTGGTGTTTAATATATATTTGATGTCGGTAAGTCATGGTTTATCATCAGGTGCCTTACATCAGCCAAAAGACTACTTACCTAACAAAACATTACTTTCCAAATAGCAGTGGAGAATTAGCAGAGGAATAAGAATTAAGAGAGATGTAATTGTGGTTAGATGCGTGGGAGGTTTGGTGTTCAATGCAATTAGCTTATCTTTTTAGTAGGAAGGCAGAAGTTAAGAAGAAGTTGTGGCAAATTACTACATACTCGAAAAAGTAGAGAATCTGCTAAAGAATTTCATAGGGAGAATTCGTAATATTATCTTTTTCACAAGAGGTGCTTTGAAGGACAAGTAGCCTCTCTTCACTGTATAAGTTTTCTTTTAGTAACTTCTTTGAATTAATGGTGTTATATGGAATACCTAAGAAACGATCTAACAAAATTCTCTTTGGGGCTATTATATGATGTACATTAGACAATTATATACAACATTTTCTTACTGCTTCTTGGCGACTCAATGTCTTACGTATCATAAAAGAAAGGTCTCTCTCTTTCATATGTTAGGTGACATTTCTGAATGTGACACAAGCCTAATAATACTTGCTAATGCTTTATCAAATAAAGTCTTATATAGACTCCCTTCATATTTTCCTTCAAATGTTAAGTAGTAACTGACTAGTTCGTTTGATGTGTTCATCCAGGTGTGTTCTCCTAGGAGTGAGTTGTGGGGGGAATATAGCTGATTATGTGGCTCGGAAAGCTGTAGAGGCAGGTAAGCTTTTGGATCCAGTGAAAGTGGTGGCGCAGGTTTTGATGTATCCTTTTTTCATTGGAAGTGTTCCAACACCTTCGGAGATTAAGCTAGCAAATTCGTATTTCTATGACAAGACCTTGTGTACTCTTGCGTGGAAGTTATTTTTACCTGAAGGGGAGTTTGACTTGGATCATGCTGCTGCTAACCCTCTGACCCCTGGAAGAGGACCTCCGCTAAAACGGATGCCCCCAACATTGACAGTGATAGCAGAGCATGACTGGATGAGAGACCGTGCGATTGCTTATTCAGAGGAGCTACGGAAGGTAAACGTTGATGCTCCTGTTCTGGAGTACAAGGATGCAGTTCATGAGTTTGCAACTCTTGACATGCTTCTTAAGACCCCTCAAGCTCAGGCTTGTGCTGAGGACATTGCCATCTGGGTTAAGAAGTATATTTCGCTTCGAGGTCATGAGTTCTCCTATTGAATGAACCACATAGATTGGTTGGTCCTGTATAGCAGCATGTATAACGAACGATACCTGGGA